AAATACAAAATACAAATACAAATCGCGCATTGTGTGGATCACGGATCACGTAGAACTTCCAAATCCAGGATCGAAACACACACGGCTTCGGGCGCTATGATCTCAGCCATCGTACTGTACGCTACGCTCCCTCGTGCACACAATTTCCAGTTTGTTCTCTTTTTTTAAGAGAACAAACTGGAGATGGATTGGCAACGAGAGAGCTTGGAAGCTCAGGGCCCTACGCTATGCTTTTTTGCCTTGATGACCAAGACAAAAAAAGCGTAGGGATGTTATAAATTCTTCTAATTTTCTACTTTTTGTTTTTAGACATAACCTGGGATTCGAACCCGCACTATCGCCCTGCATGCATCCCCGGTACACTTCGCATACATACTAATTCTTCCAAGTTGCTTCACGTTATGATTTTGTATTTGAAAGCCCTATTTGAATATGCATTGTGGCCAGCCGTCTTTGAATGTACGGTACGGGATAGGTACGGGACAGGTACGGGACAGGTACGGGACAGGTACGGTCGAGGGTAATACGACACCGTCTACCGCCTTGATGACGGCAAAAAAAGAAAAGGGATGTTATAAATTTTTCTATTAGTGCAATTAGGAGTATAATAGATGCAGACATGGCCAGACAACAACGAGTTCATGGAATTTTTAAGGATTTTTATGTTATTCAAAATCGATTTTCGTGTTCCGCTCATCAGTGAATAGTATCCTTAAAAATTCCATGAACTCGTTGTTGTCTGGCCATGTCTGCATCTATTATACTCCTGATTGCACTAATAAAATTGCTTTCTCCACGCCGACTCTTTATATAAATTTTTCAATTCTCTTATTTTTTTTAGGCATTACCTGGGATTCGAACCCGCGCTATCGCCACACATGCAGTCCCCCATACACTTCGCATCCATACTCATTCTTCCAAGTTGCTTCACGTTATGATGTTGCGTTTGAAAGCCCTATTTGAATATTGCGGCCAGCTGTATGGATTGATTGGATGGATTGGATTGGATTGGACTTTTATTTATAGTGGTGACTATAACAGACAATTGCCTAATAACAATAGACCCACTCGAGGGAAAGATGCTAAAAGATATGAATAAGAGAGACTACCGGTATTGGATAGGTGATCATGTTCGAATTTTGCATAGCTGAAAGTCATAAGTACTAGCGTGAAAAAGCAAGGCATTGGGGTAACAGTTTCTTAAAACGGGCAGAGTTATCCACACAGCGAGCTAGATAAATCATTCCACAGCTTAGCACATTGGAAGGAAGCGCCATGACGGGCAAAGGCAGTTCTGAGCATTGGCAACTTAAGAGTGCGTGATACAAGGCTGCGAGTTGCAAGACCATTATTTAAACAAAAATAATATGTGTGCAGGCCAGCTGTGTTTGATGGTACGGTAAGGTACGGGACAGATACGGGATAGCGCCAGGCGTGACACAAACACACAAACAAACACCAAATTAAAGCTGTGTGGACCCTGGCTAGCGCCAGACGTTACTGAAGTAACGTCTTCTGCATAGCTACGGGAATAAAGCTGAAATGAGTGTACTGGTTATCTGAGTGATCAATCATTACAGCAAAACATCACATAATTATGCGAGTAGAATTTTGCAAATCGACATTTTTAAAAAATGGCGCTGCAAACATTTCGACATTTCGGCCGCGAATTATTTTCGGCAAGGGGGTACAGGGTCAAAATTAAAGGTCGGTTCATGACCAAAAGTCGATGTGAAAATTTTCATTAGCGTTTTCATTCCGGCATTTTGGGTCGGCTGCTGTTGCACGACTAGTAAGTAACAATCTGGAGGGATAGAAACATCAGTATCGGCTCGAAATTACGTCTACTCAATGCCATAGTTTTATCCATATTCCTTTACGCTTGCCAGTCTTGGACCTTAACTGCTGAAATTGTGAAAAAGATCGAGGCTTTCGAAATGAGAAGCTATCAACGCCTTCTCAGGATTCCGTTCACTGATCACCGGACGAATGTGTCTGTTAGAGAGGAAACGAGAGAGCTTGGAAGCTCAGGGCCCTACGCTATGCTTTTTTGCCTTGATGACCTAGACAAAAAAAGCATACGGATGTTAAAAATTCATATAAATTTTTCCTTTTTTTTTTTAAAGACATAACCTGGGATTTGAACCCGCACTATCGTGGTGCATGCATCCCCCGATACACTTCGCATACAAACTAATTTTTCCAAGTTGCTTCACGTTATGATCTTGCATTTGAAAGCCCTATTTGAATATGCATTGTGGCCAGCCGTCTTTGATAGCACGGTACGGTACGGGACAGGTACGGGACAGGTACGGGACAGGTACGGGACAGGTACAGTCGAGGGTAATACGACACCGTCTACCGCCTTGATGACCTAGGCAAAAAAAGCATAGAGATGTTATAAATTTTTCAATTCTCCTATTTTTTAGCATAACCTGGGATTAGAACCAGCACTATCGCCCTACATGCATTCCCCCATACACTTCGCATTCATACTCATTCTACCAAGTAAGTTCACGTTATGATCTTGCGTTTGAAAGCCTATTTGAATATTGCGGCCAGCTGTATGTGGCCAGCTGTGTTTGATGGTACGGTACGGTACGGGACAGATACGGGATAGCGCCAGGCGTGTCACAAACACACAAACACACAAACACCAAATTAAAGCTGTGTGGACCCTGGCTAGCGCCAGACGTTACTGAAGTAACATCTTCTGCATAGCTACGGGAATATATAGTGTTCACAAACAAGTCCCAATTATTGTTTCTGTTCGTAAGGCCACACTTTGTTTTTTCTATGTTTCTCGTCGGCAAATTTTAACAAAAGGTACGCGGGCGGGCGGAAAAAAAACAAAAGCCAAGGAAAAAACAAGAACAATTTCTACTGAAAACTGTATACATTTTACAATGTACATGTATATACAAGACACTGCCATGTATACCATGTATACAGTACTACATTGTACAATCATGTACATGTACTTCTTGAAGTAGTCCCATACATGATTGCACTACATTATCACATCAGCCCACGAATATCAGGCAAACTGCAACAATGTCCATGAGAGCATAAAGTTTGATTACGAGATGGCGAGGAGAACATACATTTATCTGCTATCGCATCAACACACGTCTCCCACTCGTCATAATTTTTTGATTTTGTTACTTCAACGTTCTTGTGTTCGCTTATCAAACTCTTGTCTCCGCTTATCAAACTCTTGTCTCCATGCTGCTCGTCTTTTTTTCTTGCCATGCGTATTGCTTGGATTTTCTGCCTACGACATCGTTCCACAGACGCCAGTTGCCGCGGAACTCGTCCGACTTACTGTTCCTGGGACCCACGAGGCTCAGCTCAGCCAGTGAACGACTGAAAGCTTCGTCATGACAGCCTTCATCGCAGAGAACGGACGAGGAGCGCTCCTTTGCTGCATGCTGTGGTGCAAACGTTTACGATTATTGATTGACGCATCTAGCTGCAGCGTACATACATGTACATGTACGTAGTATGAACCTTTTTTTTTCTTCCGAAAATTCTGAAAACCTACGCGGGCGATGACGAGAAACATAGAAAAAACAAAGCGTGGCCTAAAAGGAAATTTCAATTTTTGTTCATATTGTTCGTTCCGGCTGTTTGTCATTGACTGTTCTTCAGGTTGTGTTGCTGGAGGTCGTGGCCAAGGCAGGCCCAGAATGTCATGGCTTGATAATATTATTTCATGGACTGCACTTGACGTGCAGTCCCTGCTCGCTGCTGCACGCGATCGATTTTTATGGCGCTCGCTTGTTCATACTTGCTCTGTGACGCCCCGACGGCCTTAGGGCTATGGGCTTGTGATGATGATGATTATGATGATGATGATGATGATGATGATGATGATGATGATGATCACCTGCTTCCGCGGTTGCCGCGGTTCGTACGGCAAGAGGCGACAGCCGAACTCATTTCTGGCCCAGTGCCGCCAGGCGGAGTAGGGTGCTGCCTTTGGCCTCAACTTAATATAATGCTATTTGGTTTTTCCCCTTTTATTACTCTGTGTTCATTGCTTGTTTTTGTATTGATTTACTTCCTTGACTGCTTTTGTGTTTCATCATTTTCCGGTTGGTTTTGTGTTGATTTCCCCTGTTCACTTTACATATTGTAATGATATACATTTGCTTTGCCCGTAAAAGAGGCTTTTCTCATGATGATGATGATGATGATGATGATGATGATGATGATGATGATGATGATGATGTTGCTGCGATGGGCAGTCACCTGCTTCCGCGGTTGCCGCGGTTCGTACGGCAAGAGGCGACAGCCGAACTCATTTCTGGCCCAGTGCCGCCAGGCGGAGTAGGGTGCTGCCTTTGGCCTCAACTTAATATAATGCTATTTGGTTTTTTCCCCTTTTATTACTCTGTGTTCATTGCTTGTTTTTGTATTGATTTACTTCCTTGACTGCTTTTGTGTTTCATCATTTTCCGGTTGGTTTTGTGTTGATTTCCCCTGTTCACTTTACATATTGTAATGATATACATTTGCTTTGCCCGTAAAAGAGGCTTTTCTCATGATGATGATGATGATGATGATGATGATGATGATTTTGGGTCGGTGCCGGAAATAACCGAAATTAAATAGCATACAGAGGCTTGCACTTGCCCACTGCCATGACTGATCACACGAGTCCCCATGCACCACGAACTGAAACCGAGTTTTCCATGTTGTTTCCACGCGGGTACAATCATGGTGGGTACCTTGTATATGTATGAGGCTTGTGTTTCGCATGGCTGGAACGTTGCCATGGATAATTTCGGAAAATGCGCAGAAATATTTCAAAATAGTCATCCCAAAGAGAATACAACGTAGGAAATAGCTTTCCTACGGAAATCCGTGGAGAGATTTACATATGAAGGTTGTGGGCACATACTTGTGCCCACAATTTCCATGTCAGGGAGATAATGTATGTTTTTATATTCCTCCATGAAAAAACACATTTGCCCGCCTATCCATGTGTTCTGCAGCATCCAATGCGTGCGAACAATCTGCAAGTGACAACTGCCAAACACTCTATCAAAGCTGTCCTGGGTTAGGAGCAACTGGTAAAATTGCCTTCCAATACTATTGCAGTACTGCATCGCACTACGCCTGTCCGGCAACTACTATGGTGCAGTCGACCACAACACAAACTGCACCATCTGCTCTTCCCAGCACGTCCACAGCGACTACAGTTCCTGCTATCAAACCTGCAACCACACTGGAAACCAACTCTACCGCAAAGAGCGATGACACTGAAGGGAACAGCACAGAATCTGCCTCAATGACTGTCTCATCACCTACAACATTGCCACCATCCAAGCAGTCGACATCAGCCGTAGAATCCACAGCAGCGTCTATGCTACATGTGGCTATATCGCAGCCAGCAGTGTACATCGGTGTTGCATCCGGGATTCTCCTCATTATCACATGTGTGGTGGTGCTGGTTTGTTACTTGCACTGCAGAAAGAACAAGAAAATGTTTAACATGGTGAAACGCAAGCTGCCTTCAATCGTGTCAGTTGCTGGACTTGGTATGAGACACAGGAGTGGAACGGATATTAACCACTATGAAACAGTTCCATGCCGCAACTCCGAAGGCGGTGAGCGATTTGAATCACTCTCCGAACCCAATGAGCAGCCACCTCCAGAACTACCAGAGCTACACAGAACGGATGACACTGTAGACGTAGGGCAAACAGCAAGAAGTCAGCGATCAAGAAGACTAAAAGCGCTTCACAATATGCCGCGGGTGAGTGAGGACACAGCGACGCCAGACTCCAGTCCGGAGCACGAGATATCAGCAGAGTGCCCTGGTGAGACCAGAGAACGACTTCTCAAGGCGAAGCCATCCGCGGCGGCTGAAAGGCGTGCAGTGCTTCGCAGTCCAGGCTCGGCGTCGATTGAATCGAACACCGACTATGGTCGGCAACAAGATTTCTGGAGGATCGCAAAAACGGGAAGTGAATTATATTGCACTCCAGAGACCTTAAACTCTGGTGACATGGAGAGTGCACAGGTACAGCGACGTGCTTCCACCGTTAGTACCGCCACGTGTCCCTCCGTATGTCCAAGCGACTATCTGCTGCCATCGGAGCTGCTGTCCGCTGTGGATGAAACTCCAGAAAAGCGCATTCCAGTGACCCGCCGCACCAGCATAGAAGTTCGAGAAAAGCTCTCGGAAACTAATGACTACCTGTGCCCGGCCGAAGTGGTGGTGAGAGTGCGTACGCCCAGTACCACGGTACCACCTCAAACCAAGCAATCACGACAATCCTCACTCTCTACACCATGTTACGAGCTAGTTACGGAATTTCCTGCCGACACACGAAAGACACGCAAACCGTCTGCAACGCCATCGCTGACAACGTACGACACACCAGGGGAGATACTTCAGCAAACCAAAACACCAGATGTTACACGTGCCAGTTACGAAGATATCTTGCCAGAGCCAGGGAATAGCAAGCCACGACTGTCGCGTTTCGTCGCCAACAAACTCCACTCTAGCACAAAATCCCAGCAGCGCTCATTCAAACGTTCCAATCCACCATCTCCTCACGCATACGAAATGGTTGAAATAACACCGACAATGTCCCGTGCCACTCAGCCTCACACTGGAACCCTGGAGGAACCAACCGTAGCACAGCAGGCCCAGCTACACGTGCAGCAGAGTTTCGAAGACGACGCACCACAGTTCATTGATCTAGGGTCGGGCATACCAGCCAACGTGATTACCTCATCAACAACAGCCAATGACGTCATTGTCAACCCAGTAGCCTTTCTACAAAACGGGAAATCCCTAGAGGGCGACAATGAGTACATGAATGTGTCGCTCGATGATGATTCACTGCTCGCTGCCATGACAAGAGGACCTGACTCGGGAAAGCGGCTAAGCAACCGAAGAAGCAGCCTGCCTGGTGTACATGAGCCAAAACTTGCTGATAAAAGCGTCTCCAAACTCTAACAGTTCCCTCTCCATGTGTTGGCAGTAATGGCAGTGTGCCGAGTAAACATAAAATAAGAACAGTAATCAACTCGGCTATAAACTATAAATGCACAAGATGAGCTCTTTGCTACACTTTGTTGCCTGTCTCCCAACATTTGAGAAGCATGCTATTGAACAATGTCTCACTCAATGCATTATTCAGGTCAAGTTACCTTCAATAAAATGAGAATTGTAGACTCCAGAACTAAATATTGCGACAGAGATTTCGGCCATATTTTCAATTCATTGCATTCCCAACTCATCACAGCCACGCGCTCTTCAGCCGAACCATACAGACACCAGCAAGGACACTTCCGTTGAGTGTCTGTAAGGTTCGGCTGAAGAGCGCGTGGTTGTGATGAGTTGGGAATGCAATGAATTGAATTGTAGACTCCGCTATAATTTAAAAAATGCATCAGTTGAGCTCTTTTCCAACTTTTTTTACCTTTCCCACAGCGTCTGTGAAGCATACAATTGCACAACACCCAACTCAGTGTATTTTTCTATGAAAATTGCCTTTCCACATACATGTACCAGATCACGGACAGGGATCATGCATACATCTAACTCTACTGGATTAGAATTACCCCAACGATGGACGAACGCATCAAAATAGGCCTTGATGATATTCAACCAAATCTTCTTCCGTTAAGGTATTCAAATGTTTGTTTTTTCTTCTATATTTTTGTGGTAATTGTGTGTTGCTCCCTACGTGGCCTTTCCTGCCGACTTGAATTCTCACTTGACATAATTCTATTTTGTGGTACATGGTATAACACATTGATTTCCATGCTACAGTAAGCACAAGACAGAACCCAAATTTAGGTCTTTAGCACCTCATAACGACATGCACACCAAGGCCCTTTTTTGGCAACATGTATTCACGAGAAAGCTTCTGCCAGTTTATTAATATTCTTTTTGATTTTAATGAATTTTGCCCAACTTTCGCTAATAGGTTATGGCCCGGTACCCATGCTATCGGCAAACCTGATAATTATACTGCGGAACGGCTAATTTTAACGGGTACTTGTACATTTTTTCCATTTTCTGAATCTGGACGAATTCGCAATGGGGGTGGCATTGGGAGGGGGGGGCGATGCCCTTGAGTGAGGGGGCGATGCCATTGGGTGGGGGGGTGGCATGGGGTGGACGTGGCATCGGGGGGGGGGGGGGGGGTGGACGTGGCATTGGGGGGGGGGGGGGCGATGCCCTTGAGTGAGGGGGCGATGCCATTGGGTGGGGGGTGGCATGGGGTGGACGTGGCATTGGGGGGGGGGGGGGGGGGGTGGACGTGGCATTGGGGGGGGGGGGGGGGGCATGGGGGTGGACGTGGCATGGGGATTAGATAAAACATGAACAGTAAAGACAGGTTTATCTACATGCTGATCCCTAATTACAAGTAAATTAGTTCTCACAACACCTGTTCTGGTGTGCAATATTTAAAAAAAGGTTTTGACTTCTTCAAAGTACAGCATAATACATGTATGCATGTGTCAGGATGGTGAATTGTTGGATGTGTACCCCGTCCATGGCAAAAAAATGCCCGGCCTCCACTCATTTGAAGTTGGCAGCATCTACCCAACTCCAGAATGGTCACACCGCACCGCCTCTCTCTTTCAGAGGGAGTGGGTGACATTGGGTGACCAACGCATTTCTGTCAGTGCACTCTCTGCGGCCTGACACACCGCGCCACCCGCATTACTGGCTGTGGATGCTGCAGGTGTGTGTGAGGGGGGGGGGGGGGGGGCATCATCCCATAAAGGCATTCCTGAAAACCCATCCCTTCAAGCCGAGCTACTCAGATACCTGAGCTCGTACGGCTTTTTGCACCCGCTATAGCAGCAAGCAACAACAAAACACACACCTGCCAAGTACTGAGAGTGCTTTTTCTGGATCGCCATGGCAGGTATGAAAACAGACTGGGTTGTGTTCGAGGCCGAACAAGCTGCCCAACACCAGCTGTTTACTTGAACAAGTAACACATCTGTCTTAGTACTGTCAACTGGCAACATGGCCACCCACCAGTAGGTGCATGAGAATAACAAAGAATCTTAACTGGTACAGCAGGACAGGAGTACCACCTGCAGCTACAGACAGCCACAGGAGTAACTTCTTTAGCTACAGACAACCACAGGTGCAGTATGTATCTAGAACTGCAAATAGGAACACAGGTTGCTAGGTTACATTTTGTCAAAGTCTAGAGGAAACGCCGAGAAGGATATAGCCTGCTTGCCGTTGGAGTAACGCTCGTACAGCACCCCACCAAGTCCTGTACCGATCTCGTCAGGTACCAAGCTAGAGTACCCACCCCATACTGAGCCACCCTGGACAAGCAGTGTCTTCTTAATCCACGTTGTACCGCCATCATCGCTTACCCGTACTGTGAGGTTCTCGCGGGACTTGGTCGACGCAGGATTCGAGAAGTAGAGGCGGCTTTCGATCTGGGCCAGTGATGCCTGGCAGATGGGTGAGATCAGCGTCGGGTCGTAGCGAATCGGTGTCCAAGTCTCGCCTGCATCGTCACTGCGTGATGTTGCACGGCAGTCGCACGACGATGCGTGTGCGTTGCGCATGTTCAACAGGATGGAGCCGTTCGCAAGCTGCGTGAGTGTGGCCTCGTCCATCTTGGGAAACGTTACGTTGGGGCGCGTGTAGTGAAGACCGCTGTCGTCGGAGTACCACACGATGTCCTCGCGATACGCTCCGTAGTGGCCCGCAAACACAAGACGCCCCTTCTTTTTCTGCATACACACACACACACACAGGAGGCAAACACGGAGAGGATAGAATGAATGCACGGCTGTGACTAACAGGAGCAAGACTGGCTATTAGGTTTGCGAATCAACAATGACGGGCTGTGACTCGCTTTTCAGTTCCGGCAGATGACATCGTACTTTCTCAGCATTGAGTGAAAATTTAGTGTTTGCGTTTCCGCTCCACACAAGAAAACCCAAATGATGATGTAGTTGCACAATCTCTGCATGAATCTCCCTTCTTTCAATGTTGCAGTGAATACACATGTGCTGGATTTACATGGAACATTGTGTGCTCATAGCTACTGCTATCATGGACATTGAAATCCGGTGGAGTGACCGGGGCCGGCGCCCTGACTTGCTTAGTACATGTACATGCATTCACTGTTTAAACACGGCAACAATTGACCAGCAGTGCGCACGGCTGCACGGCCAGCGCCCCGTGGTCGCTTGACTTCTCGACGGATTTCAATGTCTGCTGCAGTAGCAAGCCCACGTCGTGTTCAACCATGGGGAAAACAGGGATCGGGTTTCCTTTCTCATCGCCGCAATTAACCAGACTGCTGCTGCTGCTGCTGCCAGCTCAGTACAGTACTCACCCCCTGTGTCAGTTGCAGTCCATCACCAGGTCCCGAGCTCACACCAGCGTACGGCTCTAGGAACTTGGAGATGTCGACGGGCGTTGACCAGTGATCTCCGGCATCATAACTGACAGTCTGCCAGTTAGCGCTGGCCGGGCTGCAGGACTTGCCGGCCGGTGAGGTGGAGTAGATACACATCACTGCTCCGGTCTCATCATTCACCACCACTATCTGATTGCCTGCAACAATGTCACTCACGTTTAGACCATACACATTCTGTACAAGAACAGGGAGAGAAAGAGAGGAGCAGAAGAGAGAGAGAGAGAAAGAAAAAAAGAAAAGAGAGAGGGAGAGAGAGAGAGAGAGAGAGAGAGAGAGAGAGAGAGAGAGAGAGAGAGAGAGAGAGAGAGAGAGAGAGAGAGAGAGAGAGAGAGAGAGAGAGAGAGAGAGAGAGAGAGAGGGAGGGAGGGAGGGAGAGAGAGAGAGAGAGAGAGAGAGAGAGAGAGAGAGAGAGAGAGAGAGAGAGAGAGAGAGAGAGAGAGAGAGAGAGAGAGAGAGAGAGAGAGAGAGAGAGAGAGAGAGAGAGAGAGAGAGAGAGAGAGAGAGAGAGAGAGAGAGAGAGAGAGAGAGAGAGAGGGAGAGAGAGAGAGAGAGAGAGAGAGAGAGAGAGAGAGAGAGAGAGAGAGAGAGAGAGAGAGAGAGCCATTCATGTCAGCACCTGAAGGAATTGTGTAGTAGCCTCTCCAAGGCAGAGGTTGTGGAGTATTTAGATGAGTTCATGAACTGTGTATGTAGGGCGGTGCCAGATACACAATTCTACGTACTGTAAGACCAGTAATGTTAACGAATATTTAATTCTAACGAGTTAACGAATTTGAAAGAAACGTTAACATTTGAAGTCGTTATGTGCAAAACGATATGTACATGTACAGTCATTTGCTGGTTTTGAGACGGAATTCGTTAGAAATTCACCTCATTAACCCACAAAATCCGAAGATGGTTAACTTTTTAAATATTAACGTTAAAATATCTGTTCTATAGTAATACATATAAAACCCCTCAAGTCTCTGACACTTGAACTATCTGAGGGCAGGTAACAAGTTGTGCTGCACAGTGCTGGTGGCAATGAACAATACAATGTATACAATCTCTTATTGGCCATGGTGCCATCGTGAGAATAAAGCATTCAAATTCAAAATGTGCAGTGGAGCCTTGCAGCTTGCCAATTGCAATTGTGGTTCAGCGCGTTCTAAGCAAACCGGTGCATGCATGTCTCAAGACTACGGGATCAGGGTTACGGAGTTGATAGCGGCAGTATCCCCGGACCATGTCCATGGCGTGGACACGATACCATCTTCAAGTTCTCATTCCCAGCACTAACAATGGTAACAGTCACATTCCCAAACCACAGTCGACTCGTGATATAGCCAACCACTGCCCATGTCCCTGCTTGGATCCATACAAAAAGATGACCCTTTTGCAGTACATTTTGTAAGGCTGAATGTAGACCAAGTGCACTCACGCAGTCATGGCCCACATGCCAGTCATGACGTGTTAACCCTTTATGTACTGCGCCCATCTCGAACCGTAAAAATATTTACGGTTCGGCGCGCCGTTCGGCGGCGTCCTTTCTCTGATCGACTCGCGGTTTTTTGCAGTGGACAGCTGAGATCCCACTGAAAATGTTGACGTATGATATGGGTAGGTCGCCATTTGAAAGTATGGAGACCGATCGCGGCGAAATGTGCGCTTCGCAAATGCAGCGCTCTGCGATATATTTTGCCAATTTCGATCGTGTTTTCGTTCCGTCGCCCTGCTGCTAATAGAGATATAGCCTTCTCCAGCTAATGTCAACATCCTCTAGTCGTGGTAGACACCTGGAGAGAGCTGAAGCAGCGATATCTCCTCAGGATCTGAATCGAAACTGCCAATTTTCATCGCTGAAGCCATCACAGCATTCGCTCTCCAAGTAGCAGCGAGAGGGAGGGCAGCGATGGCATAAAGTCACCAAGGCAGGCGGAGGTCATCCCCAAGTAACTATTTCTTGTCTTCTCAATCACCAATCCTCGCTCGACATGAGTAGATCAGCAAAAACTGTATATTTCAAATCTGAAATAATTGCAATAATTTGAATATTTGACGCAATTGTTTGCGTCTGGTATTTAGACGATACATCCGTTTTTCACCCCTTCTGTTGCTGTTCATGCATGCAACTAGTGCCTGTGGTATCCTTTTGTCACTGTGCGTCCCAATGGCCGTCCCTGATACGTCTATACTTTATTTCAAAATTCAAATATAGCGATCTCAATTGTCAGAATTACGCACAATTGGCTCATAACTGGGTATTCCGTGTATGCCCTCTACTTATAGCTGCGTGCTGGATTACAATATGTTGACAAATGGACCCATTCATTACTATAGATTCAGAAAAACATAACTTGCACATACAAAATGCGTCTAGATTTTATCCTATAGGTCCATCATTGGCGAGGAGTACCCTACGCATACATTAGATGCGCGGTACATAAAGGGTTAAAGGGGAAGTTAAGGCAAAAATTAAAATTTCACCAGTTGTAGTCTTCGGGGTGCTGAGTCGACTGGTTTTGGTCCGAAAAGGCTGCGATGCAGCGTTCCTTCTTTATTCCCAATCGAACATGGTTGAACAAGCGGTCACGTGCTCCTGCGTACGCCAGTCACCTGGTCACCGTGCCTGCAGGGTACAACTTACTAGCCTGTTTGACCTTTTTTGGGTGCAGTCCTGTCACTCGAGTTGAACCTTGGTGTGAAAGTTGTCGCCTGCTGGCGTGGTGACCAGGTGATTTGGGCATCCAGGAGCACGTGACTGCTTGTTCAACCATGTTCGATTGGGAATAAAGGAGGAACGCTGCATCGTAGCCTTTTCGGACCAAAACCAATCGACTCAGCGTCCAAAAGAGTACAACATATGGGCCAATCGCGGTCATCCGTGCTTTTATAAGAACGAAATGGCGCTTTTAGTGACATTTTGCATACAAATCCCCATCTAGTAGGGCGCAGTCACCCAGTTTCGGTGGAAGTGCGCGAGTTCGATTGGGATTCAAGTAGGAAGGGAGCGTCTCAGCTTCCTCGGACCAAGACCATTCGACTCAGCACCCCGAAGACTACAACTGGTGAAATTTTTATTTTTGCCTTAACTTCCCCTATAAATAGTAGCGCGAGTACTTGGTGGAAACGAATGGGAAATTCCAGAAGGAATGAATGAAACCCCTGCTGAGATGGCAATGTCATGCGTTCATTATAAATTTTACAACCACCTGAACTCCAAAGCGGCTGTGACTGTACTTGCCCCAACAATACCACCTGACAACACACGCTTACCATCAATTTGCTCCATGTTTTGCCCATGTCCTCGCTACGTTTCATTACCACTGCCTTTCTGCCGCAGTCGCTGGACGAATCCTTCCTGGCCTCGGCGAACGCCAGCAGGAATGTTCGCCCAGCTCGTGGTTGCGGTACGTGGCAATGCCATCCTCTTTCTCCAGGAACACATCAGTCGTGAAATTTACGAGAGGTGATTGCACTGCCTCTAGCTCCGGCGGGTCGTTTCCAAACTGATGTCCGAACTCGGTGGCCCACGGTCCATGCTGCTGATGGTTGCGCCACTGCTGTTCTCTGTGTTCGTGCGAACTCACGCCCAACGACGTGCTGGCTGTGTCACCAGGACTGCGGTGCTGGTGGTCGAAGGGACGACGTTCGCGCTGGATATCTGGCGTAGCAGCGTCGCGTCCGCGACCTTGTCCCAAACAAACAGGCGCAAGCAGACAACCCAACGAAATGATCGCAAATAGCACCATTCTGCGAGATGAGGCAGTGGATGCGACAGAGAATCTTCCCATTGAAAGCATCACCTCGGACTTGATTCTCGTTTTCATAACTCCTAATCCTCGCTCTATTGTGAAGTGGACTGCAGGAAGATATTTTGGAGGGGGGAAGGTGGACCTTTCATACTCTGCCAACACTGGCAAGAAAGGAATGAAGCACCTCCGAGGAATCCATGAGGAACGTTAACGGTACCGGGCCATAACACCCCCGCCCCCCCCCCCCCCCCCCGGCCCCGTCCCTGGTCGCCACCACTAGGGTATAGGGCTCTGGCCTGGTCGCATGTCGACATGTCATGTCATGCCTATTTTCGCAACTTTTACACCGTTTTGGAAGAGGAAGAAATCGCAATTTTCGCAGCACTGTCTTCATTCATTTTGATCCGGCATGCATCATTGCATGAACGAAATGATGTGACCCTGTCGCAAGTTATTGGGGACACACCCACAATTTGTTGAAATGAAATTACCTGACGATTGTAGTCAAGTGTTTCCATTTGGAGAGGCCGATTGCATGGGAGAGTTCTTCCGAGTCGGTGTACATGTACTACCGAAATATAAACACGACCAACGGCTGTGCCAGTGCCACCACCAACAGCAACAACAACACCATCATCACTAGGGCCATTCATCACTGCCACCCCCCCCCCCCCCCCCCCCAAACACAACTCAGACCTGCCCATCCCAGAAGCGATGATAGCGAATAGCGTGTTTCATGCACACGCACACACATCACACACACACACGCGCGCGCACACACACACACACACACACACACACACACACACACACACACACACACACACACACACACAAATACACGCACGCACACACACACCACTCACCAGCAACAACAGATTCATAATCACTATAACCTGCTAACATCAGCTGCTGCTGCTGCACCTGCAGGTCTTCCAGGGCACTACTGGCAGTGACAGTGCATGTGCTACACTTGACAGTCCACAATGACTGTACGGAGCAGGGAGTAAGCGTCGGTAGCATGCAGCAGACATGGCCGCTTGAATCACACCACACCTAACCGCATGCGCACAAGTCACAGAGGAACACGCAGAGCGCGGCATGCATGCATGCATGTAGGCACACACACAATTGCTCACATAACTGAATCCAGAAGTGAGGATTTCTTGCGTCACTCGACTCCCAAAAGTTAAAACACCCCTTTAGTACATAGTAACAGTCACAGCTGATGGAAAGCAGTTGTAAACAAAAACTTGGTGCTGTATTAGAAAAGCATAGCGACACGCTATCACTTCAAACTAGGTGCCGTAGTAACGCACATATAGGCGCATGCACTATCAGCCCGGATCATCCATTCGTGCTATGATCCAAGCTTGCAGCCTATATCAATCTTATCTTCTGAAAATTGTAGTCGAGTTGCTGTCTGATGATCGGTTAAAACCGTGAAACTCAGAGTTACAGAAGAAACGCTTTTTGTCCCTCTCAAGTGTGTGTGTATTCGGATATAAGCGCACTCTTACTTATAAGCGCATGCTCTTATAGGCGAAGAAGCACTGCCAAAATTCTCATTGTGACACAATCACAGATAAACGTCTGAAAAACAGCCTACAGGAACCATGAAACTAATTACTTACACTACAACTTACAAGACCTAGTCAAACACAAAGACGCTGGCATGCGCGTTTAGGTGAAACATTTTCGAAATTTGGATTCGTAGCAAAAAAAATTCACTTATAAGCGCATGTGCTTATATGTGCGTTATTACGGTAATAAAAAGACGAAGAAGAAGATAGCTGGACCCTAGGAGAGTGAGTGGTTTTAGGATTCCGAAACGAAGAGAGAGAGAGCCAAGATGGTCGGCAGGAAGAGTAAGAAACTGAACTACAATAATAACTAGGAAGAAACCTTTCAAGGGAAAAAACATGGGAGAAAGACGTCCATGACATCAAAGAGCGCTGGCTATTTCAATATCTTGTAAACGGTGGCCAGCCACCTTTGCAAGTTCCGTGGAACACAGCGCATACCTGGCCCCCAATGCAACAGGAGATACAAGGGAGAGTATACGGCGACTTGTTCAAGTTGGAAATAGATAATCCAGGATCATATCGGGGGCAGGAGGCGGGTGCTGCATGTCAATCCATCATGGTATGGCGTTGTTGACATGACTGCGCAGTGGATCGCCACGTGGGACACTGTTAATCTTACAGTCTTGCGGAGAAAACACCCGGGTATGATAACTGCAGCATCTTACACGGTGCCACTGTTAGGTACATTAACCGTTGCTCTGAACGGAAATGCACTGGAAGCCCTGGGTTGAGATGATGGCCTAGAGGCCAATGGCTCACGGTCACCCTACAAGAGACTGATAGTCAACTAGGACGACACGAGCAACGAACTCTGCACGTAGACGATAAGTCACGATAAGTGCGAGCTACCAACACCGTGCGTCAACCAGTGGATGAGCACTAGCTCTAAATAGTAGCACAAGGTTGTTTGTCTTCTGACGGGCGGCCCAGACTTTACAAGCTGACAGATGAGCTTGCACATAGGCACTTTTAAAAAAGTATGCTAATCTGGCGTGTTGGCCGCATGGCTGGCAACACAGCTGCAGCAATTACAAATCCAACACTGCAACACAGATAAGGCCTTCACCCAACAGGCCGCAAGAAGCGAGTTCTGTTCGAGGGGGACACTTGGTGCTGCATTTCAGAGGCAGAATGAGAACGCTCGGCCCCACCAAGCTTGCGTGAAGTCGAATGTGGTGCAGTACCCTCAGCTTTGTCACCTACATACGTCACCGAAACTGGCAGGTGTGCAGTGGTCATTGACGCTACTGCATGCACCCTTGCTCCTGGTTTAGCAGCAGCAGCAGCAGCAGCAGTACTGGATTCTTTGACAGTAGTGGCACTCGGCACCTTGACAGCAGGGGCTGTGGGATGAGGTGCGTGCGTATGGTTCACAACATGACTATCTGTAGCATTACTGCCCATAGCATGCGACTCCCCCTTGCTGTAGACCACCGACTTCTTGGCTCGCCTACTCGAACTTCCGCTGAGATCAGACGTCCTCAAGTTCAAGCCCCGGCGGTCGTTATGCACAACCTGTGCGGGTGCAGGCTCGGCGGTATGCGCCTCTGCTGCTTCGCTGCCAACGGGGTGTCCTTCTGGAGTGCTATCCGTTGTGCCTGCTGCTGCTGCTGCTGGTGCCTGCATGTTGCGATCTTCAGGAGGTGCATCCAGAGCTGGTGTGCTTGCCTTTCCAAGTTTGGAATCACCATCAGCGAGCTCGGCATGATCACCTTCATGGACAACAGGTTTTTTCTCATTCCCCTGCAGGGCAACGGCAACTTTCTTGCTGTGAGATTCATCAGGAACAAGTTTGACAGGTCGTGGTCCCTCATCACGAGAAGTGGAGTCGAGTCGATCCTGCTGCGGCGGACGTTTCTCCTCTGCTGACACCTTAGGGCCTGCTGCTTGCAGTTTCGGAATGGTCTTCAGCTCACGATTGTTCTTGGCTGCTTCATTCGGCACCTGCTCTTGTTGTTGCTGCTGCTGCTGCTGCTGCTCCTGCTGGCCTGGATTCTGCTCTAGGTGCTCCTGTTGCTGTTGCTGTTGAGGCTCATGTTGGTGTTGCTGTTGTTGCTGCTGCGGTTGTTGTTGCTGAGGCTGCGGTTGTTGTTGCGGAGGTTGTTGTTGTTGTTGCTGTGACTGTTGCTGCTGTGGTTGCTGCTGTGGTTGCTGCTGCTGCTGCGGCTGTTGCACTTCATGTTGTTTTTGGTTGTTATGCTCTTGTACATTGAGTTGAGCGCCATGACCTATGCTATGATCATTGTTTCTACCTTCGTCGTCGACAAAAGTCCGCAGCCGGTCGGCCTTGCCCGAATCAACTGGGGAATGTTTCTTGTCGGCCACCGCAACAGGTTGTCGGTTACCAACGTTGTCTTCCCCAGCCCTAACTTTGTTGTTGTTGGATTGCTGCTGTTGTTGTTGTTGTTGTTGTTGTTGTTGTTGTTGTTGTTGTCTTGGTACAACTTCCCCTCCATTTCCTCCATCTCGATGATGTACAGTGTCAATGCCTCGCTTAGAGTCCTGGTGCACACTCTTTCCAACATGTCGCCCAGTGTCCAATTGCCGAGCACTGTCTACATTCAGCCGATTATCGTCTTGCCCAGCAGCACGATGGCTGCCCTCTCCTCCACCTGCTGCGCGCACGCCATCACCGAGAGAGTGACGCAGCTTGGCTTGCTGTGTGGTACTCAGCGGTGGCGTGTCTACGGGTGTGACGGCCAGTGCCTGCAGAGTGCGCAGGCGATGGCGATTCTGCGGATCACTGTCATCACCACCGTCACCACCCAGGTCCACCTCTGCTCCAGCACCCGCTGCCGCCGCTGCGTCACCAGCCTCGGCTGCATCGGCGTGATCACGAGCTGCTTGTGCGGCTGTTATACTGGCTCCTCTGCCATCGGGATTATCCACTGCTGCTCCAGCTCCAGCTGCATCAGCATCATCGGCCTTTGGTAGCGGCGGGACTGGTGCATCGTTAGCATCCATCTTGCCACCCTCCTTAGAGCCAGGATCTGCTAGCGGCGGCTGGACACCGCCATCGGCATTCTTACCACCTCCCTTGTCCAGAGTCTCCTCGCCATTGTGTTGCGGTTGCTCCAGGTTGACATTGTCTTTGTTAGCCGGCGGTAGGGCTTGCTGCTGGTCACCACCGACGTTGGACTGCTCACGAGATTTCTTTGCACGCAGCACCTCGCATTCCTCAGTGTTCATCTCCGGCGGGCACTTGAACGCACTCAGATTGACTCGGCCAGCCTGCGCGACATCGTCCGGTGGCTGCAGCAGAGGTAACTTGCCGCCACCGCCGTCACCGCCTTCCTTGCTACGCGACTGAGAGGCGTCACCGATCGGCGGCTCGGCTGAGGGACGGCGAAGCTCCGGGCGGAACGCCTTCGGGTGATTGTGGCTCCCGGGCACCGTAGTGACCACAGTCATGGTGCAGACGAGTAGCATGACAGAGCCGATGCACGCCACAAACTAAGCAGCAGCAGCAGCAGCAGCGGGGGCAGAGGAAAGACGGACAGACAAACAAGGAATTAGCCTGCACAACACAGTGGACAAGCAACCGTACACAACACGTACAAACGTGACCAGACACACATCTCAATGCATCCATGCGTGCAATTACACATGCACACACAAACACAAACACACACACACACACACACACACACACACACACACACACACACGTGCACAATTGGGTACACGTACAGAGCAAGACAATAATTATTGCAAAGTCAAATATTGTCTATGCACATGGATTTCCAAAATCTTGTCACATCGTTACAGACCGTTGTCAAAGGAAAGCTTCCAAGTAATTGAAGATGATTGCAAGAGAGAAAGAGAAAGAGACAGACAGACAGAAAGAGAGACAGACAGACACACACACACACACACACACACACACACACACACACACACACACACACACACACACACAGACACACACACAGAGACAGACACACACACACAGAGACAGACACACACACAGAGACAGAGACAGAGAAAGAGACAGAGATAGAGATTGATAGAGAGATAGATATAATTATAGATAGAGAGAGATAGAGAGAAAGATGTTATTGACTTACCAATCCTTTCCACTTGTCCGGATCAGTTGCCGAACACAAGCGAAGGAACATGAGGCCGGGAAAGACGTAGCAGATCAGAGAACCCATTACACAGCCGCTTAGCTGCAAGATAAACTCAACTGAAATACAAAACACAGAGAAAAACGCCGTCGACACCCGTCAATGACCACAACAACAGCAGGAGCAACACCAGGAGCAGGAGCAAGAAAGATTTTGAAAACACCATACACACAGTAAGACTGAATGTGAGGACGGCACTGTCACTGTCACTGTCACAGCAGAAGAGGATCAATTTCCAGAAGCTTGTAATCAGTCCACATACTGACGTTATACATTAGAACCTGTGTGAAGGCAACTTGCTGACCATTAACACTAATTCCTGTGTAGGGGTTCAGTAACACCAGCAACACACTCTCAGACTAACCATTGGGAATGAGAACAGCGACAGTCAGAGTGCCACCGACGATGGACAGGGTGATAGCACGGAACCGCAGCGGTGGAATCATCAGAGCACCACCAGGGATGTTCTCGCCGCTCGCCTAGAACATACACACACACGCACACACGCACAAGATAAATACTAATGAATTCCGACACACACACGCCAGATCAAGGCTACACGGTATGAAAAGCATGAAAGGAATCATGAAACATCTTGCTCTCATCCTGTACAGCATTCATACCAAGTCAACACACCCTACTTATGCCAGCATCACCCACCTCTGGGGAGAACAAGGAGTTGATACTGAGCCGACACGGGAAAACCATCATTGGGTAGCCGATAACCACGGACAGAGCAAACGCTGCAAAACCAACAACAACGCCAACAAGAACAGGAAGAAGACTTTGACGGATAAGCCCACACAAGCATACATAGCCAGACTTCAAACCTCTCTCTGCCGTGCACATGCCATGGGAGACATGGCACAGAATCAGAAGAAAACATGTACGCACACACGGATCATACAAATAACTCGGGATTAGGTCGCTGCTCAGAGCTTCATTCCCATGGCAACCACCAAGCACAAGGGCCCATGTACACTTCAAAGTAATTCTTGTATTTCTGGCGTTCTAGGTTGAAGCACATTCTGCTAACACAACAGCAGCATCTGAGCAGCAGGAATCATGAACACAAGTTGTTGCTAGAACAGTAGACATTTTGAGGAAAGGTTACACAGCTATGAGTTTGGCCATATCAGCAGGGTCAGGTGCTAGGGCCTCCGCGCCAAGTTTACCACTACATCGAAGCACGTGCAAAGGGGAAAGCGCTGGGTGCTGAATTCACACTAAACCACCAATTGTGACCCACCTCTCAAAATCATAGCATGTGTGTACATGCGTCTCACGCGCATGAAGACTACCACGTCACGTGACACATTTCTCCAGTAAACCGATCATGTGACCCGGCCTAATGTGACCTGGTATACGACTAGACGATACACTATGTACATGACATCATCACTGCAGTGACAACAACACTTAGTTAGCACAGAGCACACTGGCAGACAGTGACATGCTGCACTAGACTCTACACAGAGACACAGTTTACAGCACCTATGGCTGCACAATACTACTACACACAGTGAGACAGTCTATGCCTCCATAATACTTTACACAGCCACACAGTGTACAGCACCAATGACTGCACGATACTTAACACAGTGACACAGCTTACAGCCCTAACGACCGATCCACAGTGACACAGTTGACACCAGCAATGACTAACTTGTGTGCGCAGTGCTGCATAGCTGCTAATCTCACGCTCTCCATATAGACAATCATGACGAATATGTCACACGAGCAAGTAACACAGTGGCAACACTTTCCTCTACATTTGGAAGCAACGGAACTTACACAAACAGTACACACCTACATAACCCAATGTTCACAGTGCTGCCCAGTTCACGTAGCCTTCATTGTTGATGCGCGCAGATGGTGTAGTTCTCGTCGAGCGAGTGCTGCTTTAGGCGTTTATTCTCCCTGTGCGTATAGATACATGTAGTACTGTTGTGAGGAAGACTATGATGAAGTCATCATGATGTCATTATGATGTCACTATGATGTCACTGCAGTAGTAGTAGTAGTAGTAGTGACAGTAGCTAAGTAGTGAGTGTTTGCGTAGTGAATGCTCTTGTATACTAGCTGTGCAACCAGTACAAGTACTGTCACTGCTGTAAGTAATTTAGTTAGCCATTGCGGCCATTGCGGCCATTGCACTGAACAAGGCAATTGTTTCAACTTGTATTCGTCCCCATTTCCAATAGGAAGTTCGTGCTGTGTGCCACGCTGATAAAAGTGAAAATCCTCCATAAAACACACAAAAATCTAAACACCTGGTGAGAAGCGTGTGGTGTCTGTACTGCAGAGAGAGGCGATGGGGTCTTGGCAGGACCAGGAACGCTCCCCAATGTCACCGTATCTGAACGAGATTCTGCGGCTCGGCGACGCAGAGCTGGTGGAGAAAGTGCTGGAGCAGCCCGACTCCATGCTCGTTGAAACGCTTCTCGGCTGGCGGGAGCAGTCGCGGCAAGCGCGTCGGCTGGACTGGCTCATCAACCCGACCATGTTCACTTGGGTGGCAAAGCTAGTGGAGCGCTGTGAACACATCCAGCGGTCTGCGGTGCCGGACGCAGAGAAAGCCCTCGGCAAGACCTGCTCGCAGGCCATCACTAGCGTCGAGAGGCTCGCGCAAGTGGCAGTTAAGAAAAAACAGCAAGAGGTGGTGCAAGAGAGACAAAAACGGCAACAAGAGCGGCGGCAGCAGGAAGGCAAGAGGAGCTCGGAATTGAAGCAGAGAACAGAGGTGAAGACATCACAAGTACTGCAAAGTGAGGAGCAGGGTATACCCATGGCCATGAGTGTAGAGTTCAACAACAACAACAACAACAAAAACGATGAGAATATGAGCAGAGAGGTGCCTGAGACTGCACACAGCAAGGAAAACATTCAGCCAAGTCAGACGCTACCCACGCTGAGAGACCGACTCGACTACACACGCATCAGACAACTCGCCGCCTGGCCGGCAGCGTACCGGCCACCTGACCAATCACAGCCGCCGTTGGTGCGACCGTTCCGATATCCAGCACGCCTGCTGACCAGCATCTCCCAGCCGCTTGTCTACACACCGTTCATCGAACACACTCGCACACTGAACACATCCGCACTCACTCATCGTCTCTACAAGAAACCCAAGAGCAAGACAGGCAAAGCCGACACCGAGAGAACAAAAGAAAGAAAGCAGAAAAGCCGGGTAGTGTGCAGCACACGGCGCACCTCTGGAGCGGATAACAAAAAACCAGCAACTGCTTCTCGACGCAGGAAGTTCGAAAAGCCAGATAGCAGCAGCAGCAGTGAGCCTGGATCTGACTCTGAGAGCGGTCTACACAGCAGCAACAGCAACAGCAACAGCAACAGCAAACAAGCAACAACCAAGCAGTGGAAAACATGCGGACAAGACAAGACGTCAACAAAACGCGCAGTGTGCAGGATGACTGATTCAGCACGTAGCAGAGTACTAAGTGCCCCTTCACGGCTGAGCAAAACAGAAGAAGGTACACAGTCACCGCGGTCGTCCGATAAGGACGAGTCCGACGACAACGCCTTAGAACGTCCTTCAGTCATTGTCGGTTACAACTTTGTAGAAACACAGTGCAGAGCTTCGGAACACACACCGAAACAGCAGAGGGAAGTGGTGGAAGACGTCACTACAAGCTCCGAACATGAAGTGCCGCCGACTGCCAGTAAACCCGTCGCAAAGCAGAAGCGGCGGTCCATCTACAATGCATTCACGACATTCTGCAAACGCACGCTCAGCCGAATGCACTCTGACACAGGGACTGATTCGTCCTCGTCGCACGACCCAGAACAACAGCAGGAAGCCAGCCAATCCGACAGCGCAGCACAAGCAGCATCCAGCCCTTCTCGACGGACCTCCAGATTGCGAAACTCCATTACAAAAGTCCGGGAACTGAGCCATGTCGGTTCCACTGGCATGCTGCCGTACATGGGAAAGTCGCACCAGTACACGCGTAACATCAGCAGCAGCAGCAGTGCGTGTTCTTCAGCGGAAGCAGCCACATTCGCCACAGATGGCAAGAGGAGAAAGCAGCGGAAGCCTAAACGAGGCCGATGGCGGGGCCTACACCACAGCGTACACCGCAGCAAACGACCAGCGTTAACAGGGCATAACGCACAATCCCACGGCAATGGTCTAGCGGAGAAGAGCATGGAAGAGACAGAGCTGGAAAGCCACAAGCAGAGACACACTGGAGCAACTGAAGCTGAGCAGCAGCGGCGGATGATCGGCAGTGAACACAAGCAGGCAAGAGCAACGGAGAGGAAGACCAAGGGGAGGAGCACAGCTACACACGATGATGACGAACTCTCCGACCAACAGCCTGGTGGTTCTGTTCACGCCATATCAGTGCGGCCTACTTCTGACACACACGAGCCAATCACAAATGCAGCCGATCACACTGACGCGACGGCACATCAAATCAGGCAGCCAAGGACACCAACCAAACCAGCGCAAACAACGCCGGCACCGACCCCGATCAGGAAGCGGCATGCCAGAGTGAAACGGTGCGTGGCGCGCGAGCGCAGCAAGGAGCTGCAGCGTACCTATGAGCAGCTGCAATCCGAGACTGACCACAGCAGTGGGTGCGACTCCACACAGCAGATAAGCTAGTGATGTGCAAGGAAACAAGCGAGCAGAGAGGCAAGCGAGCAGAGAGGCAAGCGAGTAGAGAGGCAAGCGAGTAGAGAGGCAATTCCACTGTTCAACCAATCGTCCCACCAGCAAGTCAGTTCACAGATCACGAAGACAACAACAGCACTTCTGCTATCACCAGTCACGAAAACCAGACAGAAAGAACCAGGCACAGACAGAAAACCCAATAAATCACTCCGGCCACGAGCACATTGCTAATTGTGTAAACGTACTCTAAGGAAACATATGCATTTGACGTTGGTGTTCTTCACGTCGCTACAGACCTTTTGAGCCTTTCCCAGTGCAGATATTTTCTTTATTCAGTGATGCTTGCCATCAACGTCTCTGCTAGAAATTGACCGCAGAATACTTATTTGCCCTAGTTTCCCCTTGTCACAACTAGCTATCATAGTCCCAAACAAAAACGGATTAGAGCACAGATTCAAAAGACCAGAAAGAAAAAAAGAAAACGGGAAAAAAAAACGACAAAAAGTGATTGAGACTGTGTTGCTGTGTGCCAGAGTGTCAGAGTGACTCGTCCCATGTTTCTTTGTAACAAATGCCTGCAGAGGTTCTAGTCCCCGGGGGCTATCAGGAGCTTCCATTCTAACCGGTCACACCACTAAGCTGCTTGCATGTGATGCCTATCCGGTCGCAGACAAAACAAAACTGCTCAGGAGTCCGTGAAACGATCATCATTCAGGGTAGGGATGTCACACACGTTAAGACCAGTATGACCATATTGGTCACACCACTTTTCGTCCAGGATTGTCCGCCCAGAGTGCCCGTGGAGCACTAAAACGTGCCCTGTTGGCCGAGAAATCCGATTTTTCCCCGGGCACCCCCTCCCCCCCCCCCCCCCCCCCCCCCGCACTCCGGACACCCCGCACCCTCCCCTACCCCCGCACTCCGGACACCCCGCACCCTCCCCTCCTCCCTCCCCTCCCCAGGGGGACACCCGCACCCCCGATCGTACCACTCCTCACTGCCCTGTGACGCCTCTGCAGGGGAGGGTGAAGTTTGATCCTGGAAAGCAGCACGTACGACTCATGATTGTGTAGCCCATGCAACAGGGGGTGCAACAGTAAATCAACG